TCCTTCCCCATTATTCTGTGAACTTTTTGACCTTCCTTCTTAAGTAATATTGTATAATAAAGACAAATAAAATACTTCTAATGTATTAGTTTTTTTTTAATAATAAATATCAATTTCTAATTCTAATTTTTCGATTTGTAACTTGTGGATATTTTATTCATATTCCAGGTTGTTTTTTCTGTTTGAACCAAAACTTTTTCTCTCTCCATTCTCATTTTAAATAATGCCTGGTCATGTTGGGTATTCAATTCATTTCGATGAATCCGAGCCAGAGTTTCCCTTATTAGGTTTTTATTACCTGTAATACATAAAAAAAAAAACATTTATAATAGCAACTTCATGATACATAATATACCAAATTTTATAAGTAGGATACATATGTACACTAGCACTGTATATAGAAACTTACGATTGGGGGTGTTGAATTCCTTTGGGGTTTTTTTTGGGGAGTGAGACATTCTCCAAATTCTCCAGATAATGCTCTACATGTATTTTCTAATACTACAAATTGTATCCGTAATCAACAGTAAACAACGATGATCGTAAAATAATGTATCTAAAATTTCACTTACCACATGGCAACGGCAATAACCGTACAACGTACAAAATATTTAACACGTATCCAAGCAAAATAATGTCTAAACGTATTTATGTTGATTGATTTCTTTTGCAAAACAAACTTGCTTTGAGGTTATTATATTGTTATTAATGTCAACATTTTTTCTGACAAGCTATGTAGTGAAGTTAGCAAAACAAATGGACCAATCACGGAGCGGTATCTAACGCAGTGCGTTCCCTCAACGAAGTGTTACTTAAGCGTCGTTTATGAATCAGAAGGCTTGCCAAAACGAACGCACTGAGAAATGTTGTTCTTTGCACAGTGTTAGTAGTACGCACAGCCAAGTATTGTTTGTGAATACGGGTGTTATATTTATTGAAGGTTCTTAGAACAGTATTGAGCGATGTTTGAAAATGGAAATGACGGAGACGTGATATGAATTCGTTTGACACTGATCGAATATATTTGATACAACTTTTATAAGATTTGTACGTTTTTTGTTAACGTTACGAATCTATTTAAAAACTTTTTATGTAATTGAATAGATATAAAAAAACAGCTATAGAAAGCGGAAATTAAAATTTTAAAAGAGAAAAACATCGATTCGGTGGGTGTAATCTTAGTTTTTTTTTTTATATATTACAAAACTTTAGTAGACCTATACTGTTTCTCAAATGATAATATCGGCGGTGTGAAATTCTTTTTGCCTTAATTTCCATAATATAATATAATAAATATAGGTATTTAGTTCGTTCATTTTGCAGCTATTTACATTCTAATATATCTATACTAATATTATAAAAAGAAAATATTTGCATTTTTGGATTTTTGTCTGTATTGAAAAAACTCAAAAACTTCTAGACCGATTTCAAAAATTCTTAATAAGCTATGTTATCACTGAGTAACATAGGCTACATTTTTATTTCACGCGAGCGAAGTTGCGAGCAACAGCAAGTTATATAATAAAGTCATTCATAATATATTAGGAGCATATTCAACTTGTTGACAATGCAAACCATCGTCGCTTCCAGGCGTATTAATTGTGCTTTGAAGTGAGCTTTTGCTCAACAATTTCACAACAAACTCTTTGATCCCTGCGTTGTTAATATCTACATATTTCTCACTTGCTATACAACTATATTAAAATATGTACCACATATTGAAATTAATGAAATACAAATCCTTGTTATGTTTATTATTTCAGAAATTGCGAATAACACATTATCAGTGTATATACACATTAGCTATCGCCCTGAGTTTTAGCACTTGTAATGTATTGCGGTTCGAATCCTGCCATGTCCCATGTGATTTTCAAATTTTATATGCACATAATTTACCCGACGTTCTTACTATGAAGGATAATATCGTGATGCAACCTGCACATATTGGCGAAGAAATTCAAAGATGTATAAGTCAACCAAACTACAGTGTGACAGCGTGGTTGACTGAGTCCTGGTCACCCTCACTTAGGGTAGGCTTCGAGCCTTTCAGGAGACAGTTGGTGATGGCTATGATGATTCTTCATCAATCTCATTGTAGTATACAGTCTTTATTTAATTAATTATTTTGTTTATGCTCATGTTATTTTTTTCTTATTAGCATCTGATATTTTTATGACAGTTGGAATTTGCACAATATGTCGAAGCATTTTGTAAACTCGTCGAGACCATAAAAACTTTTTTTTAATTCTATTAAAAATATCTGCGTTTGATTGTGAAGTATATTTCTTAATGTCAGCCGCTGCGAAGGCGTCGTCGGTTTTGGTTGTATAATTGACTATAATTACTGTTTCATATAAGTTAGAAATTACTTTTAATTGGATTTTAATCGACGCGCTTTATTGTTTTCCTTATTTTGGATATAAATAAATCAAGTTTATTTTGTTATTGTATATTGTTGATGTTTTATGTGTGACTTCTATTGTTTTTAAATAAAGATTTTAAATTTCGAATATCGTTAAAAAAGTTGGATTGTTACAACGTTTTAAATCAACCGGTAAATTTTTAAGTGTAGGTACAGAGCGATGCATACAAGGACATAGTGTAACTATTATTTTTTACATTTAGATAGAAAGAAATAAACGATAAAAACAAAAAATATTTTTATTTATTTAAATACATTATATTTTTTTCATTCACACAGGATACTACATTGATATGAGAAGATTTGAAGAGCAAAGTGCGCTTTCATTAAAAGATTATTACATCCAAGTATTTCAATCGTAGGCAATCGTACGGAGCATTATGAAATAAGAAAAAGAAGTCCTTATGATCTGTAAAAATGTTTATAAGATTAGGATAGCTGCATTATCACAGTATTATAGGCTATGTTTTTTATTTTCCTTTTACGTTGTCCTTAGCCAAAGTGTAAGAGTATGTGATAGTTGACTCACCGTAACCATAGTCTGTGCTCCAATAGGAACGATGTCTAGAGCTCTCAAATTGAAAGGAATTTGAACATTCTGAAGGAAAAATAATACAATTTTCTGGTTACCTACGGACATATATTCCCATGGTAAATTATAAACTGCCTTGATGATTTTTTCATTCTAAAAAAAATTAAAAGATTGATAAGAATCCATTCACTGAATTTGAGAAAACACCGTAAGCGCAAATTTGGACCACCCTTTACGCCATATTGACAGCGCGTAATTTAAAAAAAAAGCAGCCTATAATATGCCCGTCTAGGTCAGCTACCATTCAGTGAAAGACCGGTCGAAATCAACCTAGCCGTTTCGGAGATTACCCGAAACAAACGCGGTTTGCGGACAGACAGACAGACAGATTTTCGTTAACAGCAATGCAAATACATAATTTTCTTGAAATTGGGAATTTTTCTTTTGATATTACAAACAGAGAGTCCAATTTTAATATACGTGTATTTTATTATAGATATTTGCATTTTAAATGGTCGATTTTGTAATTAAATCGATTTGGAAGAAAAAAATAACAGAATTAACTTGCCATTGACGCCATAATTTCGTATACAATGGAAATCTGTATTAATTGTTGAAATATAACAAGCGTTAGTATTCCATATTTTCCCAATGCTTCTGCGTCCTAAAATAAATTAAAAGTTAATTAAAATGAATATGTATGTAAGGGATAGTATAAAAATGTCAATTACCAATTTGCAAAGTTCACATAGAACAATGCATTCGCTTATTTGCTGGAATAAATAGTAGAGGCACATTGTCGGTCCAAAAACATTAACTGTTTTTGATAGAAAACTGAAAATAATATAGTAAATCAATTATAAACTTTGATTGTCTGCGTTTTTCAATGTCAAATATAAATTTACAGTTCTCGTATGCACTTTTTAAATTTGAAGAATATTTTTACTATTATAAAAAACTAAGTAGTTATTCTTTGTTCACGTATCTGGGAATCTTCATTTAAATATTTGATAAGTATTTAATATAATATATAATTAGACTACGACGTAGTTCAAATATTTCTAAAAATACGCAGATATGGGACGTTTTATAATGTCTTACAAAAAAGAATACTTGAACTTTTATTATCAACCAGCTTATAGAACAAGCTACGTATCCGTCCGCGTGGGATTAAAAAAAAAAAGAGAAACAAAAACAAAAGTAACTAGACTATGTGTTATTTCAGACTATCCTCCACATCTATACCAAATTTCATTGAATTCAGTTAAGTCGTTTAGGCTACAAACTCTAACAAACATCCATCTAACCATCTATCTAAACTTTCGCGTTTATAATATTAGTATGATTATATCGAAACTAATTTAGTTTGAAAGATAATACGTACTCAGTTGCCACTTGATGTTGTTTCATATATTTTATAAGCAGATTTTTCACAGCTATCGATTCTTCTTCATCATAAGAGATATTTTGATCAGTCAATTTCGGTAATGGAAAATTTATCAAATTATTTTCCAGAATTTTAAAATGGCCCCAAAGATGGATTGCGATAAGGGAAATAAAAAGTTCGTTTATACACATTACAAATGTATTAACGAAACTAACGAAAAAATTCAAAAGAAAAACCATAGAATACGCTTTTAAATTTTCCTGACTGTCAAATGGCAAATCATAATAAATTGAAAGTTCTATATCTATGGTCACATTTGGAGATAATTTTTCTTCCAATAACCCTGCTTTTATATTATTAAGTAAAGGCGTTATATTAAATAAGATAATGCCAAAATACATTTGCACATGTAAAAACACAATAAAGTAGAGAGACGCTTTGTGAATTTTGTTATGCATCTGAAAAAAAAAAGTTATTAAGCGTTGAACAATAATACTACTTTCCTGCATTCTTACGGTCAAGGAATACACTATAAGGTGACCTGCACATCCGAAAGATGTATGAGTTCCGATACGCAGTAAACCAGTGTAGTTTATTAAGAGACGCACCTAACTTAGGATATCCTCTAGGATTCTACAGAGATATTAACTTTGATGATGATGGTATTAGTAACTATACGTTCGTTAATTTGTCCTTTGATTTGGTTTGAAATGAACCCTTTTCATTTGTATATTCCTTGCCAGAGTATAGTCACATCGAATCATATATTATCGTACAAAGAACTATATGAAGTTCCCTGTGTGTTATAATGCTCGTGAACGGTAGCGATCGCTTAACAATAGGCGACATATTTTTTTATTCTTGGAGGAAATACGTATAAAAATTCTTTTTTCATTCCTATATACATTCAGCCTTTTATAGGAAAATCATGAAATATTAATAATTTATACAAACTTTCTTGGAATATTCTGATTCGTCTTTGTAATGAAAAACATGAATATTTTCGACGAAATCAATTATAAGTTGGCGATATTTCTTATTCCATGGTAATGTTAAGCGGAACTGTAAAATAAGATTTATTTTAAATAATTCATCCGTTCCCACGAGATATATATAGATAACTCACAATAACTCACAAGATATAGACTTCTTACCAAACTATTGAACGTAATAAGTACCGTAATATACGTATGGCCTAAAATCAAAAAACTCAAAACTCCTACATTATTTTTGATATAGATTAATTCGGCGACGAATACAAATAATATAACGCAAAATAAAAATTTATTGTTAGTCAGAGGAATCGGATTTTTGCTTTTCATATCACGATGGGGCCAACAATCTATAAGGCTAAAAGTAAACCGAACTAGTTTCATATAACTCAGATCTAATGGTGACACCATATTAAAATCTCGTAAAATATTATTAAAAAGAATTTAGTACTTAACGTAATATCAAGTGTTCTTTCTATGATACTTTGCTAGATGCGACCACTGAATTAAGTATGCCCTACAGTGATTTGATTTATTCTTATATACCAATAGTTTAATTCAGATCATTGCAACGTCTTATTAAATATAATTACGCTATTCCATATTGCAAAGTTAATCATACTAATATTATAAATGCGAAAGTTTAGATGGACGGATGGATGTGTTTTAGAGTTTGTAGCCTAAACGGCTAAACAAATTTTGATGAATTTTGGTATGGATGTAGAAGACAGTCTGGAAGAACACATAGGCTAACCACTTTTGCTTTTTTTTTAAATTCCACGCGAACGAAGTCGTGGGACAAAGCTAGTATTCAATAATTCTAAGCAAACTTACCCAATGATCTTTGTCTACTGTAATTATAGACTGTAAAAAATATTCTGGGAATATCCAGATGTTACAAGAACTTAAATCAACTACCTTATAATAATGGAAGAAATTAAAAATTTATTGCCGTTCGTGAATCATATCGCCTTTTTATAAGCGACTTTCGCCCGCGACTCCGTCCGCGTAGAATTAAAAAAAAAACAAAAGTGTAGTGTAGTGTGTGGTAGCCTGTGTTCTTCCCGACTATCTTCTACATCTCTCTAAAGACTAAATTTCATCTAAATCGGTTCAGCCGTTTAGGCTACAAACTCTAACAAACATCCATCCATCTAAACTTTCGCATTTTTATATTAGTATGAAATATGATTTATTTCACCACAACATACGACAATTTAACAGAATAACATTATCGTAATTTAAGGAATATAGCCAGTTACTTTAAAATATTTTTCGTGTTTTTTTATTCTGTTTTATTTATATTTAAAGTTTATTTTTAACTTGTCCTAACTTTAATTCCACTTTCACTTCAACTATACTTATATATCTTTACTGATATTATAAAGAGGAAATATTTGTATTTTGTATGTATTGAATTAAATCTTAAAAATTCTTACATTTTTGAAAAGTCTCGTTACCTGTGAGTAACTCCTGCTATTTTGTTTAATTTTACGTGGACGAAGTCGCGAGCAACAATTAGTTGTACAATAAATTAATTAAATAAACAATTGTTGCAAACACCACGTGTTTGTAGTTTCGAATATGTAGTTGGTTGTGTTCAACTAATTTTAAGCATGAATTTTTTTTAACTTCGGAGTTTCTAATTTAACGCAAGGATGTAAAAGAAAAGACAGATTAGAAAATACTACGGCTCATATAATCAAAGTTACACTTTCATTTAACAATGATCACAAAATTTTCAATATTCCCCACGCACCTCAATAACTATAGCATTCCTTTAAACTATCTTACATTTCTGTAACAATATTTAAAAATAATATATTTACGGAACCATACTATTTATACCTATATTTACCAACTAAACTCGCATCATGTTCCTACTTCATATATTTTTACATTTCTCTATCGATTACAAAACTTTATATATGTACAAAATACAAGTAAATGTATAAACTATAATAACCTTATCTACATTTGGTCAAATCTTAACATAATTTAATACTAAAATCTATCTACTTGTATTATTTTGATTAAGCTGTAGGTATAAATTGTTTTTGTCATTTTTGAACTTCATTTATTTGTGTTATCTACATACAAATTCATTATAAATTATTATATACTAGGAATTATTTAACAATAAAAGTAATAAGACTAGTCGTTGACTATCACAATTATTAAATAATATTTGGTAATAATAAGACTAAAGGCCGAATATTAAACGGTCCATTTCATGAGAGCCGTTTACAATCTGTCAAACATCAAAATGTTGTTATAGTATGTCTAAATAGGCGATTAGGGTCATCAGAGGATACCGCACCATATCCTATGAGGCGGCATGCACCCTGGCCGGTTCGCTGCCGTGGGTGTTAGAAGCGGAA